TTTTTTTTGGAGAGATTTTCACTGTAGGGCGCGTGCGCTCGCCAGACAGACAGAGAGAGACATAGAGACAGAAAGCGAGAAATCACCCCCCAGGGGGGATGGTCACGCCGCAATCCCTTCTCCTCCATTCTCCTCTCGGGATCTTGGGCACGCACGCACACGCGCCCGGCGTGAGTTTTAAGCCACCGGGTCCGGGACACGAACCGCGGTCGACTACGTGGGAATCCAGCGACATAGCCATTACGCTAACTGCTGGTTCCCAGAAGTACATGTTTTCAATTCCCTCCTGAGACCCATTCATTCAGAAATTTTAGGTGTGGGACCTGGTTATATATGGTTTAACAAGCTCTTTAAGTGATTCTGATGCAGGTTAAAATGAGAACCACTGCCCTAGATTAAACTGATAGGCTGAAAATAGACACACATTCTTTGGTACTGTTAACCTTGAGAGGTGGACTGTATATCCCCTCTTGTTCATTATGAACAGGAGTTGTGACGCTAGAACAAGACAGAAGGGCACTGTGCCATCTTTAGGGGCAGGCTCTCCAAAACCAGCACCCTCCATTTTCCGTCTTTTGGAACATTGACTTTTGGAGCTTCAACTGACACGGGGGGGAAAAAAAAAAAAACCTAACTTTCCTGTTGGATAAAACACGTGGAGATGCCTGAAACTTCATGGAGAAGAGCCAGAACAAGGGTGGTATTCTAGCCACAGCACTGACATGAGAATGAAGCTGTCTCGGGCTCTCCAGACCAGGCCAACTGGCACATGAACACCATCAAGTGACCTCAGTCCACATCACACGGTGCAGAAAAACTGCCCCCTCGAAGTCGCCTGCACTCCTGGCTCACACAATTGTGAGCCAGAAGGAAACTGTTGTAAGTCACTGCATCCACAGCCATTCTTTACACAGTAGCAGACAACGGCCATAGAGATCATTTCAATGTTTAGCTGCCGCATTAAAAAATTTAAAATAGAGATTAGCTCAATTTTAATAACATAATTTAACACTTCGTATCCAAAATATTATCATTTAAAGATACATTCAATATAAAAATTATTGGAGAGGTGTTTTACGTTTTTTTTATTCAAACAAACAATTTCAGAATCCTGTGTGTATGTGATGTTTGGAGCACATCCTAATTCTGAGTGGCCTCATCTCAGCAGCCACGTGGTCCAAGGCTGATACACGGAACCGCACTGGTTCAGGTCACCGGGTCATGTAGAGAAGGACCTCAGGGCCTTGCCACTGGAGGCTGACCCTCCGTCTCTCTGACGTTCAGTTCCTCCTATGTGGACTAGGTATAGCACCTACTGCAGAGAGCTGAGAGGAAAATTAAGCAGAATCACATAAGGTACACATAACAGTGCCCCAGCATGTAGTGGAGACTCGCTAGGAGGAGTGTTGTTATTTTTGCCACCTTCATTGCATCTGCTGGGAAGAGGAGGACGGGTGACAGACAACTGTGAAATCAGAAGCCCTGCAGTGTTTCTGGGAAAGTTTTGTTTAGACATTTCCAACAGAGCACCCCATTATTCCCTCCTGATCCTACCACCCTGCTTGTCTCTGCATCCCACAACTGTCCGTGATCCCCGCTGTCAGTGACCGCTCGGTTATAAAGAAGCACGTCTTTGGGGAGAAATGCTGGTTGCACCTCCCTAAGGAATCCTTCCTTAGCCTCCTTGACCCAGCCTATGCTATTTCTACACCAGGTACTCACTTCCCCCACCAGGTATGGTTTCCAGATGCCAACACATGCTGCTCAGTCGTCTAAGAATACTTTAAACATGTGTGACACCATATGCCAGATATTACCAGCTTTTGATTAAAGGGAAATGTTGCATATCGTCATTAATCAACTTACACTTGCTCCAGGCCCATGAACTAAGTCCGCAGGGTGAACTGTCAGCTGCAGCCACACGGAGATGTCTCCTCTTCACCAATCCTGCTCACGCTGCTGGTTGCGAATTTCTTCCCGCACAAGATGGCACGAGATCTCCAATGTCTATGCCCCAGACGTCTCTGATTCTCTCAGTATTTGAGTTCCAAAAAGAAACTGTGTGAATGTTATTCTTTCCTAATTCGGGCTGCATTCCATTGGCTGAATCGCAGACTGAACCCCTTGCTTGGACGTGAGGTCTCAGAAGCTCGTGCTTTCAGAATTCCATTAGTTTTTGGTCTTCGGCTCCGGGTGTAGAATCTCGTCTCTTGCTAAAGCTTTCTGTATGTTTTGGATGATCCCTTTTCTAACCATGTGTTCTGTCCCACTTGTCTCATCACGTCTATTTTCCATGCTTCTCTGCCCTGTGTTGCTCTGGCGGGAGGCTGACTCTTGAACCCTGTAGGGGCTTCCTTACTACCTGGCTTAGTTTAGGATCTGGCCAATGGGTAGTGCTGTCATCTGTGGATATAGACAGTTTTTGTTTTTTTCTTCCCAATCAGTGTGCCTTTTCTTTTCAGCTTATTTACTTATCTCTTCCATGAGAAAGAGAGATGGGACACTCCCAACAGGGCTCTGATGCTACCGTCTACCCACAACCGCAGCCGGCCCTGGGTCATGGTGACCGCGTGTCTGGCATAGTCAGGGAGGTCTCCAGACTTGAACCAGAAAGCTCCCTGTGGGATCGCCTCACAGGACATGGCGTACTACCCCTGTGCCACCACC